ATTATCATCACTATGCTGATGATTCTTATCCAGCCCCAACCTCTCTGCTGATCTCCTGTCTTGCATCTCCAACTACCTTTCAGATATCTCAAACTGGAAGTCCAGTAGACATCTTGAACTCAACATGTCCAGAATTGAACTCATTATCTTTCCCACTAAATACCTTTCTTCCTTCCAAATGTCCCTATTATTGTTTGGGGTACCCCCATCTTCCCAGTAACCCAGGCTTGATACTTAGGTGTCATCTTTGACTCTTCATTATCACTCATGCCATTCCCCTCCACTCCCACACACAAAAAATTTGCTGCCAAAGCCTATTGCTTTCACCCTTGCAACATCTCTCAATTATTCCTTCTCTCCTCTGGTACTGTCACCACTCTTATGAAGGCCGTTATTACCTCACATTTGGACTATTACAAAGGCCTGCTGATTGGTCTGTCTGCCACAAGTCTTTATTCCTATTCCGCCAAACATAATTTTCCTAATGGGCCAGTGCAACCAACCAGTGGTTCCCAATCACTTTCAGTATCAAATTAAAAATACTCTGGTATTCAAAGCCTTTCACAACTTACCCTCCATACCTTTCAAGTCTTCCTACACTTTACGACCCCTCCAACAGTGCCCCCCCCATTAATCTTTGATCCAGTAACATTATCCTCCTAGCTGTTCCACATATAAGACACAAGACACTCCATCTCTGGACTCTGGGGCATTTTCACTGGCTGTCCCCCCATGCATGGCATGCTCTTCCTCCTCATTTCTGCCTCCTGGCTACTCTGGCTTCTTTCAATTCTCAACTAAAATCTCACCTTCTATAGGAAGCTTTTCACAATCTTTATTAATTCCCTCTTAATACCTCCCTTTTGTTAATTATTTCCTATGTATCCTGTATATAACTCATTTGCACATATTTGTTTGCTTATTGTCTCCCCATTAGACTGTGAACTCCTTGACAGCAGAGACTATCTTTTACCTTTTTTTGTATCCCCCTGTTGGGGGACAGCACAGCACATGTAGTAGGTATTTTGCCATTGCTGTTTGGTCATTTCAGTTGTGTTTGACTCTTCATGACCCCATTTCGAGTTTTCTTGGCAAAGACAGGAGTGGTTTGCCATTTCCTTCTCTAGCTCATTTTACAGATGAGGAAACTGAGGCAAACAGGGTTAAGTGACTTGCCCAGGGTCACACAGCTAGTAAGTGTCTGTGAATAGATTTGAACTCACAAAGATGAATCTTTCTGATTCCAGACCTGGAACTCTATCCACTGTGATACCCAGTTGCCCAATGGCAGGCACTTAATAAACACTTATTGACTTACTGACTGACTGGAGGAGATTCATGGTGTTCCCCTTTGGTTTTATTACACTATTGTTTCATCGAGCTCTCTTTTTCATATTTATTAGGGTGTTTTCAAAAGGGGTGGACTAGGCTGGAATCTTTCACATCACTATCTTTGCTGAAAGTCCTTCCTAACTCTTAGAAATATCAGTTTACATGAGAAATGATATTGGATGGAAGTAGCCTTGGATGTTAGGAGTTAATCTGTGCCCCAGATTGTGTGGCCTGGGCCTGTCCTCTGTCTTCTCTAAGATTAGTATCTATCATCAAGGTCAGGCATTCTAACCACAGCTCTGTAGTTCCCTCCTCTTGCGCCAGCCCCTCCATTCTGGGTATTAACAGCTTCCAGGAATTCAAACATCACTTATCTTAGGATGCAGGCCCAAAAGGGATCTGAAATGAATCAGAATCTGATCACAGGTTACAAAAAGTGTTCATTGTCTTAGAAGAGCTTGCCAGCAGAGCAGAGAGAGTTCTCAGCTGCTCAAAGGGGAATGGAAAAAAGGTGAGGTATTTAGGTTTTTAGGCAGGGAGTTGGGGTTTAGGGGGAAGATATCTGTAGACACAATAAGCCAGGGAGCAGGATGTTTGGAAACTCCAGAATCTGCAACTGCTGCTCAAGTTGTTTCTAAGCCAGTCAAGGCTGGTTCTGTGGTTTCTAATAGTTGTAGGCATCTCCAATTTTGTCTAGAGTTCACTTGCAAAGGATCACTGGTATGCAGCTCTGAGACTCAGAAATCTTTCTAATTGGCTGGTTGTTATGTAACCCCATTGTCCTACTCCCCTGTAAAGAACGGAAGTTCTAACATATCCAACAGGTTACTATAGTCATTACAAAGCCCATGTTCACACAGTTATGTCTGTAAAGGGACAAAACTCTTTCAGAGAAGGTAGCCTCCCAATGGGCAAACTCTCCCCAGATTAAACTTACCATAAAGTCCTTATCTCCCACAGTAGGCTCAGTGGGATCCCTGGCTCCCCAGTGGGAATATTTTTCATCAGTACCCTACCCTTCCCCTCAGGGATGAGATATACCCTGTAATGTCTTAGTCTTAATCCTCCCCCCACCATCTCCATCTTCTATAGATCCAAGTTTCCCTTTATGATAGATTATAGGAATTTTACTTTGAATTTTACTTTACTAATGACCCAGTGAACTTGATAAGTGTGCATCATATATGTCCTCTCCTCTGCTATTCTCTTCCGTGGCAGAAATGATTCCCTTACTGGGACTCAGAAAATCTTGTCCATGGTGCATCAGTCTTAAAGTCTTAAAGATCCCCTGAGATTTTTCTCTTCTTAGAGTGCTTTTTATCCTTTCGTGATTTCTTTTTTTCTCTTTTACTTCACAGATCAATCATTTTAATTCCATAAAACAATGACCTATAAATATAGGATAGCTCACTTCATTGTTTAGTCTTTTCTAGATAATTGTACTTATTTACCTTGTGTATGCATCCTTGGGAATTGTAAATCAAATAATCTGCTCACCTCTATTTGTTTTCTTTCAAAGGAATGCCTTAATTTCCTCTTTTTTGTTAGACTTCCTCAGAATTGTAGAGTATGTAATTCTGGTTTGAAGATTGAGGTCCACTGCTTTTTGTAATATATTATTCCATTTTCCTCTCCAATTTCCCATAATGGCAAAATAATCCTGTGTTATTTGAATTGCACTTCCTTCATTGTTTAAAGTCTTTTTTCCTGGTTGCTTGTAATATGTGTTATCATTAAAATGATACATTTTAACTACTACACATCTTGGAATTTGAAATGTGGAGTCTATTTCCAGTGGTCATCTGTGGTTTCTCTCAATGATGCTTTGTTTCATGTATTCAGAAGTTTTGGATGATTTTTTTATTATTTACACTTTAGAGCATGCAGGGATTTTTTGATTTCCATATAGACCATGGATAATGTTATTTATGTTTTTTTTTAAGTCTGCAGGGTTCCATTTCTATTTGAGTTTGACACCACTGCCATGGAGGGCAGAGGAAACCATTATCTATTACTTTCTGTTACCTGGAATGCCCTCCTGCTCTTTTCTCCATTTATCCATGTCTTATCCATCCTTTGAGGCCTAGTTCAGGTTTTATCTCCAGACCTATCTCCCCCATGAAAACTTTTCAGGACTTTCTCATCCCACAGAGATCACTTTGTCCTCTTCATTGTTGGAGTACTTTCTACTATCTGTTCTACTCATTCACAACAAGAATATACTGACTTATATTGTTGTTTATATTGTTACATGTGGGCTTTCTCTTTCAAATAAGAGTAAAAAGCCCATTTAGAGGAAGATGTCATCTCTAATTCTTTGTGTCCTCAAAAGAGCCTAGCTATGTTGGGGATATATTTTTTTTAACTATCTAGATCTGTGACTTTATTGGTATAAGGAACTTGCTGTGAGTAAACTTACCCTATCAATCCAGTTTGACAACCTAAAGATCCAGTAAATATCAGAAGCAAGACTTGAATTTTTACCTCTATTCATATCCACTATTTATATCTATAAATCTATATCTATAGATACATACTACGTATACTATATTCCAATTACAACTAGTAAATGTCTGAGGCAGGATTTGAATTTAGTTCTTCCTGACTCCACAGCCAGCACTCTATCCACTGTGCCACCTACCTACCACAAAAGATACTGGAGTGGCTTGCCATTTCCTTCTCCAGTTCATTTTGCTGATGAGGAAACTGGGGCAAACAGGGTTAAGTGACGTACCCAGGGTCACACAGCTGGTAAGTCTCTGAGGCTAGATTTGAACTCAGGAAGATGAGTCTTCCTCATTATCTACTGTGCCACCTAGCTTCCCTAACATACATAGTTATACTATAAAATAACATATTACTATTTATATACATAATATGTATGTATACATTACTGTTTATAAATATATACACACAAACACATAACATATAACATGTGATATATACACACATATAGTATATATCACTGATCATTTTGTAATTTATACTACAAAATATAATCAGTGACATGTACTATATGTGTATATATCATGTCATATATGTCATATATTTGTGTATACATATTTATAAATAGTAAAATACATAATATATAAATACTATATAAATATACAGTTACATATTACACATAATAATACTGTAGGAAGAGAGGAATAGAATTGAGATTACCAAATAAAAGAAGCCTGTTCATAACATCATAATTAGAACTGGAAGAGTCCTAATCATCTAATCTAAGTCCCTAATTTTAAAGGTTTAGAAACAGGCCCAGAGAGGCTAAGTGACGTGCTTGAAGCCACACTGGTAATAAGTAGCAGAGCCAGTATTCAAACTCAGGTCCTTTATCTCTAACACACTACTCTTTCAGTTGCTGAAAGAGTGAGTCATTTCAACGTGCTTTTGTGTGTACCACAATGTTGAATGGTAACATACTAGATTTAGGATGAAGTGAAATGTAGACATACATTTTCTCTTTGTAAGGATTTGGACTAGAGAGTCCATAGGATTTCTTCCAATTCCAATCTTAGGGTTCTATGGAAGTTTTCTGGGACCACATCTACTTGTGGTTATACAGCATCTTGTATGGGAAACTTCAAAGGATGCCCCCAACAGACCAGCACCAGTTGGTGTTTGATTTGACTCAATGGTCCCTTTTTCTTCTTTTTTTCTTTCAGTGTGGGACATGAACACTGCGAGATGCCTAAAGACTTTCAAACATAAGGGTCCTGTCATGGCTGCAAAGATTAGTAGTACCTACATTGTGAGTGGCTGTGAGCAAGGCCTGGTGAAAGTGTGGCATTTAGCATCAGCCACACTCGTTAAGGTAATATATGCCTGTCTGGGACTATGGGGAAATGGAAACAAAGCATGGGGAGGGTCTGGGTGAGGTTAGAGGGCCAAAGTAACCTAGGTTTTTTTTTTTCTCACTTTCTTCTCACATTTGTCACAGAGCTCCATTTGTACAGCACTAACTGAGACCATTTTTCCTTCTCTGTCTAGAGATACCATTCCTACAGGGTACAAGGGCAGACCAAATTAAACTTTGTGGCTCCCCCTATTTTCATGAATAGTTCAATGTAGATAAAGTCCGCTTATTACAAATGTTTGGGGCAACTTTGCTGAAAAGTCACAAAAGGCAGCCTATAAGGAAGGAAGGTAAACTCACCTCATTTGGTTTGCTGAAGTCATAGAAGAATTAAGATTCATGGGATAATTGTATTTATAATACAAGAACTTCAGCCCTGTCCCGTCCCCTTTTAAAGTTGGTAGAGCTCCCTCTGAGGACGGAGCAAAACTCAAATAATTACCCGTTATTTGTAATATCCAGTGGCCTAGTGAGGAGAGGAGGTGGGCAGCTTTCAATTTAAAGAAATGAAAAATGCAGTGTTTGCCAAGAATGAAGTTGAACATTATAATAACCAACATTGGCCTTGGAGAAAAAAAGAAGAAAATACGTATCTCTTCCATCTTTAGAGATGTGGTGGTCCATGGGTTTGAAACATTACATATACTGTCAGACTAGGTGGATATTGGTTAATTTTACCAAACAGCTTTTCCCCGCTATTTCATTTTTATTCTTTGTTATAAGAAAGCTTCTCTGGATAGGGAAGTGGGAGGATATATTTGGAAATGAAGGTGATAAAAGATCATTCATTTTTTAAATGTAGTGAAAGCATAGGTGATCCATTAGTCATCCATTGTCATTAGGGTACTTTGGTAGATGGGGGTCTACGGGCTCCTCAAAAGAAAGGACTGTTTTTTGTCTTTGCATTCCTAGCATTTAGCACAGTGCCTGACACAGAGTAGGTCATTAATAAATACTTGCTGACTTACTTTATTTAATCTCTATGGGCACCATTGCAGATTTCAGCCTTTTGATGTCATGGCATCCTTTTTGACTTTTGCCTATGTTTTCCTACAAATCCTCTGTAGAGGATTTACTTAATGTATAAGAGGCCATCCTCTTGTTTTTTCAGTATCTCAGGAGTGCTAGTGTTTGGGTTGTGTTGAATTTTCTTTCCTTAACTCTTGAGTGTCAGATTGGGGTGAAGGGGGGAGGGACGAGAGGTTCTTGTGACCAGCACTTGTGTTTGTGAGACAACTGACAGGTTTAGTGGCTATTTAGTACAGGTAGCCTTATTGTTCCATATGAACAGTGAACTTTTGTTACTGATTTTATTAGCACGATGTTCTAATAAATTAAACTGTTATTATATAATAAATATAATCTGTTGCAGTCAGATTGGACTTTCTTATGTTGAACAGGTCCAGGATGGTACAAAATGAAAGACCACAGAAGGTATATTAGAAAGGTCCATGAACTTGGAATAAGAAGATCTGGGTTTAAGTTCTGTTTTTTTGTTTTTTTTTGTTTTTTTTTTTTTCAGTAACAAACTGTGAGATCTTGAGAACTTTATTTCTCTGGGCCTCTTTAGTCTCATATGTAAAATGAGGTTGGATTAAACCAATGGTTCTTAACCTGGAGTCCATGAACTCCTTTTCTTTTAACTTAAAAAAAAACTGAGTTTCAATAGAATTTTATTTCCCTTGCATTTTTATATATTTTATTTTATGCATTGAAAAACAGGATAATTATAAGAAGGAAGGGGCCCATAGGCCACAAGAATCCATTACATACAAAAAAGTTAAGAACTTCTGAAGTCTAAAGTATTTTCTAGCTATCCCTAACTCTTACATCCATATGATTGTGTGGTAGACTTCTGAAGTCTAAAGTATTTTCTAGCTATCCCTAACTCTTACATCCATATGATTACCATTAGAACATTTAACAACTAATATTGTGAACCATAGTGTAGTGAAAAGAGTGCAGGACTGGGAGTAGAGACGTGGGTTCTAATCCTAGTTCCCCCTCTAACTAACTGTGATCTTTGGCAAGTTATTTCCTTTCTCTGAGCTGTTCAGTGTCATCTTCTGTCAAATAGGGGATTGGAACAGATATTTGCTGAAGCTAAAGATCTGACATTTTGGGATTGTCTGACTTTCTCTGCTTCCTGGTAAAGTCCTATGCTCAAGGAATTTGTGTAAACTAAAAGAACTGGCATAATTCCAACATGGGAAATGACTCAGCAGGCCCACCATGAATGAAACAGCAAGAACTCTCTTCTCTGACCACTCTGCCTCAAGATATGAGACATAAGCGCTGGTGAAAAATGGGGTACATAGACTTAGCTGCCTTCCAGAGTTCAAAGCCCCAATAAAATAGTAATTATTGTTATAGCTACATAGCATTTTACAGGTTACAAATCATCTTCCTCAAAATCCTAGGAGGTAGGTAAAGCAAATATTATTATCACCATTTTCCAGATAAAAAAACTGAGACCTTAAGAAAACCTTATCCAAGGCCACATAGCTGAAAGGTAGTAGAAATGGTATTTCACTTCAGGTTTCATTGCTATTAGTCCTGAGCTTATGGTGATCATGATGATTTTCATGAAGCATTTATTTGTGACATATTTAGTAGAAGCTATGTGGTCATGGCCCTGTTTAGATTTACATTATGGTCAGAGATACAACTAAAAAAAGTGACATGTTTCATTATAGACTCTCAATGGCCATGAAGGACCGGTGAAGTGCCTGTGTTTTGATGAGTGGCACCTCCTAACAGGAAGCAACGATGGTTTTGTTATGGGTTGGAGCATGGTGGGGAAATATGAGCGATGTCTCATGGCGTTCAAACATCCAAGGTAGGTAGCAGGATTGCCTTTTGCACCCTTTAATTCAGACTGTGTGAAGAAATTGAATGAAAGGCCTTTTTCCAGAGCTGTTAAGTTCTAGGACAGTTCAGCCTTGTGGGGTCTGCTGAATGTTCACCCTATCTGAGCTGAACACTAAATAGTATTCTGGAGGTTTTAGTGGACTGCAGGCTCAATATGAGATACAAGTGTGATATGTAAGCCATAAAAGCTAATGTGATCTTGGGCAACATTATAAGAGTCATAACGTCCAGGACTAGGGACATGATATTCCCACTATATTCTGCCCTGGTCATACCATATCAGTCGTATCATATTCAGTTCTTAGTATCATCCTTTAGGAAGAACACTGATTAGCTGGAGAATATCTAGAAGGAGGCATCCAGAAAGATGAGGGTACTTATTTCATATAGTGTATAACATACCATATGAAGATTAGTTGGAAGTAATGGAAATGTTTAGCTTAAGGAAAGACTTGGCAGTGGGGAGGGAGACGGACAGAATAGCTACTTAAGAGCGTTTAGAGTTGTTGTGCTTGGCCCCCAATAGGTGGATGACAATTAGAGAAAGTAAGACTTAGACTCTGTGTAAAAAGAAATTTCCCCTAAGTTAGAGACATCCAAAAGGAGAATGAAATGCCTTGTGAAGCAGTAGGCTGCCCCTCACTAGAAGTATTCACTTAAAAACTGAATGATCACTTCTTGGGGATGGTGTAGTAGGTATTCTTACCTCAGGCATGTGTTAAATTATAGCCTCCTATGTCCTTTTCAACTCTGAGATTTTGTGATTCTGTGACCTTTCTATTTGCCTACTATGTGCTTTCTTTCCTATTCTTTACCTTTTCTCCTCTAGGCTTTCCTTCATTCCTAATTTTTGTCCATCTTCATATAAAGTCACTGATTTGGATTTTAATATATCATTTGTATCCCATGATAATAACACAACCAATATTTTATATTTGGTACCTGCCAAATTTTAGAGCATGGGGAAACTCTCAAACTAATGATATTTCATTATGGAGACAATTCTTTTAAATTTGGAATTGGCTTCTCTTCAAAGAATCTGAAATTATCCAAGGGCAGAAAAGGATTTATAAGGGCTTTACCTAATTCTAAGATGGCTTCTGGTTCTAAATCTGATTAAATATGATTATCCTAAGATGATCATTACATATAATTATGTTATGAACAGCTAGTCTGGCCCAAACCAGGAAGGAAAGGTGTCTTGATTAAGATGAGTCATCAATAAACATGAAAATACCCTTTACCATATTATATAGATTATTGTGCTTTTATCTCAAAGAACAAGTGAGGCTTATAAGGCAACTTCAAAATTTTAACTGAACAATATTTTAAAATTTCTTAAACATTAATCTTACTTTCTTAAATTTGGAAAATGGGAAACTCTCAGTCTTTCACCTATGGTATGTTCATCAATCCTCAGATACAATCGTATTCCATCTATATTTATAGGTCTTTTCCATTTGTCCAAATCTTACAGTTCAGAGTGAAAGTAAGAAGACGTGCTTCAAGTCTAGGCTGTCATATTAGTAACTTGGGCAAATCACTTCACATTTACACAGATCAGTTTCTTTATCTGTAAGAGAATAATATTTGCAATTCCTACCTCCTAGGGATGTTGTAAATAAAGCACTTTGTTTTCCTTTCTCCCTTCTTTGTTTCCTTCCTTCCTTCCTTCTTTCCTTTCTTCCTTCCTTCCTTCTTTCTTCTCTTCCCTCCTTCCTTCTCTGCCACAAGCATTTGTAAAGCACCTACTATGTGCCAAGTATTGTGCTAAGATGCCCTCAAAGAGTTTATATGCTATCAGGGGTAATTGTGGTGATAGAGAACAATACATATGTAGATAAGTAAACACAAAGCATATACAAAAAAGGAAAAATTTTTTGGTGGGAGTAGGCACTAGCAGCTGAGGATAGCTCTCATGTAAGAGATGGAAATTGAGCTGAATTTTGGTGGAAATAAGAGGCTTTAAGAGTCAAGGGTGAGAAGGGGAGAATATGCCAGGATTATTGGAGGACAATCTGTGCAAAGGGATGGAAGACAGAAATGAAATGATATAAGGAAATAAGGATGATTTGGTTGGAACATACAATGGATCAAGGAAGGTAATGTACAATAAGCATTAAAGAGTTTTTGGACAGATTTTGAAGGGCTTTAAAAGTCAAACAGAGGATGTCTGGGTCACATGAGAAACAAGATGGAATATTAAACCTTTTTTCTGACTCCCTACAACATCTCAAACCTCTCTAAAACAGAAATTATTTACTAAAGATAAAGCAACTTCAGCAGTCTTCATGATCTAGGACACCCAAAATCTATAAGAAGGTAAAAAAAACCCATAAAATTGATGCTCATTGACCCTGAGCTTACTTAGTACCCCTTCACAATCTCCCATGCTTCTAATAGTGAGACTGCTCTAGCAGACTCAGACTTACAACAAAATGTACCCTACACTGCAGTTTCCCCTTCCTCTTTCCAGTGCCTTGGAGATATCAGCTCCAATTTACCTTGGCTACAACTGATAGCCAGGCAGCCACAGCACTTTAGGAACCAAAGTTTGCCTGGAGCCACAACCCTATAGCAGCACAACTACAAAACTCTGAACTGCCAGTGCTGTAGCAAGTAGACCCAGTGCTGAGGCAGACAACCGTGTAGTACCAACTCAACAAAGCTCCTAACTTCAGGTTCCAAGCCAAAGAACTAAGGAAGAGAGGGAAGAGGACAGGACACTGTGTTGGGGGGGGGGGGGAAGGGATAGGGTATTGTGTAGACAAGGCTGAGGGGAAAAGCAAAGCATTCAGGTAGGGTCAGTTCTGACCACTCAAAACACACTTGCGGCAGAGACTTAAGCTGGTGAAATGTGAATTGCCTCATGCAGGAGGAGGCTGAGACATTTTGAGATCCACCCCCCTATGAAATAATAAACAACTTTAGCAAGTTGGAGGATATAAAATAAACTCATCTAAATCATCAGCATTTCTATGTATTACTAACAAAGCTCAACAGCAAGAGATAGAAAGAGAAATTTCATTTAAAGTTATTATAAAATGGGGAGGGAGTCAAAGTGATCAATAGGGAAAATGGGCAAGGAGATTGAAATTACCAAAGATTTCAGGAAGGATAAAACTCAAAGACCTTTGATAAATAGATAGATAAATCAACACAAATAGATAAATCAACACAAAAAGTAACAACAGAAGGAAATAAGGCCTCTAAATCTAGCAAATTAGTTTGGCCATCTATAAATAAATATTTCAAAATGAAGGAAAATGACAGAGGACCCAGTGGAATTTGAGGAGAGCATGGAATCACAACACATTCTTCCTGAGTGATCCAAAAGAAAAATGAGAAGTATGACAGCATAACATGGCTTGAATAGTAAAATAAATGGGCAGAATAGAAAAATATGTACAATGGCAAGGCTGTTCACCAAAGAAACAAAAGAGAGAATAATAGATTGAGAATGCAGAGACACAGAAAGAAAGCACAATCTAGAAGAGGAGCAAAAAACAATAGCACTAAAAGAAAATCTGCTCACCAGGCAAGTAAAATATACTGATGTTAAAGACAGGATGCATAGAAACAACCTAAGGATCATAGGTCTCCTAGAAGAACACAACAGGACAAAAAAACCTTAACACTATAATGAAGGAAATAATAGACAAAAAGTGCCCAGAAACATAGAAGATGCATTTGAAAGAATTCACACATCACCTCCAGAAAAACAAACAAACAAACAAACAAACAAAAAACAACAACCTGAAAGCTGCAAACTGCAAGACACATAGTGGTTAAACTTAAACAATTTAATTCAGAAACAAGTTCTGTAAAAAATTTTTTTTAATTTTTAAAAAATTAGAAAAAAAGAAACAAGTTCTATAAGTCATCAGGAGAAAAGACCTTTAAATATGAAGGACAGGACATTTAGATAATACATGACTTTTGCACCCACTAGAAAACATAGAAAGTGGAATAATGTGTTCGAAGAGCAATAGGGTCAGGACACTGACCATGGTAACCTACCCTTCAAATCTGAGCTTGAAAATACATGAAATACATGAAAATGCATAAAAAAAGATGGGTATCCAATAATAATGAAGAGTTTGAAATACTGTTAAAAAGAAAACTAGAACAAAAGATGCCCTAAACAATGCCCTAAATAAAAAAAAATGCAGGAGTGAATAAAAGCAGCAGCCAGGGACAGCAACAGAGCAAAAACTGAGAGACCACTAAGAGACTTCTTTCTAAATGTACACAAGGAGACAGAAGTGAAGATGGAAATCTGGTAGAAGTAACAGTGAAAGGGTAGACGGGCATTATGGATAGAACCTGGTGACAACCTGCCTACAGGTTAATTAATATTTTTTGTGGGACTACATTACAATATGGGATGGAACATGAAAGTGGGATAGAGGAACAGGGAGACAGAAAGGAGAGTGTGATGTGCCAGGGTCAAATCAAGAGCTAGCAATGAAGGTAAGGTGGCCTCTATGATCAGAAAGAGAGTAATTTCTGGGAGAGTGGGTGGGGGGGGAAGATTAAAGGAGGGGAGAAAGGAGGCCTTACTTTGGTAGTGGAAAGGGGTTCCTCTGATGAATGCTCCTATGGGTGAAGAGAGATGACCCTTGATCCCTACTTCTGATTTTTTAAAACCTTTTCATTTGGGGTTTTATTAGTTCCTTTTTCTCTCCTGCCTTTATCAGGATATATAACTCTTCCCCTTCTTTTTTCCCTCTCAGTCAAGTAGATTTCTCCGTCTTCTTCTACCTTTCAACTAGTTCCATTCATTAGTTTTCTAACTTTCCTTTTTTTGAACCCCTTTCCAAAAAGATTTTTTTCTCATTTTCTTTATTATCCCTCCTCTATTCTATTTTCTCTAGACCCTCATTTTCTGATTCTTCACTCTTATTTCTCTCTTTTCTGTGTATTCTCCATGCTATCAAAGCCTTCTAAGGTATCTATTCTAGACTT